CTTTTGTCCCCATTTCGAAGAGGCGGATTTCAAAACACAAACACAGCTCTCTTCCCTTGATCACAATGACTATAGAAACTATTATGTTCGCGATCCGCCTAACGGAAAGGTATGAAAAAAAGTGATGTCGGATTATCTCCTCATGGAATTGAAAAAAAGCTCCTCTCTAGTTCCTCACTGCTCTCCCCACGCATGGCCCTGACTGTCAAAGAAGTCTGCATCGCAGGAAACTGATCTCCTTACGAGGCCTTATTTCGACTTGCACTTGCACTTTACTTTCAGTAACCTTCGAGTGGGTAAGGAAGCTATCAATGAAATTGAGTTGCTCACTGGAAGTTTTCCAAAAAGTTAGTTGTAAAGGGCGAGTTTCCCATTCTAGAGTTTGCATTTTATTATTTTCCTGTTTTTGTAAAGTAAAGCAGTAAATCATCTCATGACAGACGGATCCTCTTGCTTTGGCTGACATTTCAATAGAACAGACTTTTTTCTTTTGAGTAATAGCATATCCAGATATACACGTCTTCTTGAAATCAATCTTCTGAGACTTTCGGTTTGCCCTGCTCGGTATGTGGCATCCGTACTAGAATTCTTTTGCCTTCAAGAGCACCTTTTGTCGGTTACATACAGCTTCCTGTACCAATATCTGGAAACTTGGGCAAAAATGGTTTCTATGCTTCCATACAACTGCGGAGTTGGTAAGTGGAGGTCTCCTACACACGCATAGATCCGAAAGCGAATCGCGGTTCGATACTAATCAAGGTCACTTAAGCCTTTTATCCACCCCTGGACGATGAAGTGGAAATAGGCCGATTTGGAAGCCTAAGAAACTGACTTGAACAGAGGCTGGTCACTATAAGTTGATGTATAGGCCACAACCGTAATCAAAGCGTCACCACGATATAGGAAATAATCAAATTGGGAGCGTATCCCTAAAAAGGAATTGAGCATTGCCAAAGACCTTTTCCTTTAATTTTTTATGCTTCCATGTAGTTCGTAGAGAGGGCGTCAACAGCTTGCCGCCATTAAAAGGATCGTATGTTGGAGATGATGTATGGAACGTGAATGCTTCTTGTCAGTTGCAGCCTCATGCACGCTCCTAGGGAAAGGGCAAGGGCATTGTTAAGAAGGTTTTTCGAAGTACTCAAGTTGACCTCCCTCATCTTCAGTCTCACTTTCGAAAGAGAATCCAGCCACGTCAGCCTCATGTGGCTATTTGAGCCGAACTTACTGGAGAGTCAAATAGTAGGAAAAAAGCCCGAGGCCGACAAAATCCATTCGGACCATTCAGGAAGTCGTTCTGAAGTTGGAATTGGCAGGGTAATTCGGCCGTTCAGTGATATATGGCCTGTTCAAAGACAACTCACAGAATCAGTTATAACGGGAGACCGATGCCGAGATTATGTTTTTTTAAAGGATATTTGTTCTAAAGGGCGGTGAGGTAGTGGAAGGCCGAAGTCAGGTGATTGAAACCGGGCTCGTACCTGAGGGTGAAAACACGGGCTTGTACATCGACATCACTAGCTTCTGTGTGGAGACAGAGATACGGAGCGATTTCAGATCCAAGTGTATCAAGAGCAGAAAACTTTGTCCTTGTTCTTCATATGCACTAAAAATCTCGTTCCATGGGCAGTCGGGACAAGTAGGAACCGTCAGGGGTCAGAATGGGCTCTACCGCTAAAAGAGGGATGACCTCTTTTCATCAATGTTCTTATGCCCAGCAAATAAATGGTTTCAAAGATACCCAGTGGATAGAATAGCTTGTGGAGATTTCAAAGAAAAACAAGCCCTCTAGCCTTCTATGGGGCTATTGTCAAAAACGGTTTCCTTGTTTTTGGAGGTTCCCAATGTCATCCTATCTATATGAGAGAAAGACGGTCGTGAACATTTACCAGTAATGTTGAAACAATAACTATTGAAGGCATCATTGGAGATTGGAAGACCAGGAATGATAGACGTAGACTTCCGTTTTCTCCCAGAAGTCGAAAATTAAAAAAAGGAAATATTGAAAACGCGGTCCATTTATGGCAGTGAATTTCTTCATTGCATGTAACCACAGAACGAGCTGTTTGGACGAGTTTGCTGCCATGCATGGAACGCCGAAACCCTAGTAGACCGCTTTACTAGTTCAATAGTTTCTGCAGGTGGTGATGCTTTCAAAGTCCTTCCTGAGTCCTTTGCTCTTTTTGGTCGAGATTTAATTAGATGCCATGTCATTGAGCCTTGGTACATAATCTCGGTAAACATATTTACCTGGTTATGTATTCACCGTAGTTTTCGTGAATGCTGCTAATTCATGCATGACGCTTGAGTTTAAGTCAACAAGGTAAACTGCTTGATCCTATTGTAATTCAACAAAGATGCCGTTGAGGCTTGAAAAACAGGAGAATACAATGCAATCTGGCTGCATCAGTAGGTAATTCTGAGGGTATGAGATCAATTCTTTTTACGGAAGTCGTTGCAAAATGCAAAATTTGTGCAAATTGGGAAATGTTGTGTGAACTCCAGAATGACCACGAACAATAAAACCGCAAATGAGGTGATAAAAGCGTCGTTCTCAGTTTGTTGTATTTTATGTCCCTTTCTGCTCGCTTTGGAATGTCATCTGACATTAGCGGATTTCCTAAATCTTCTTCTTTTTATTTTTTTGCTTGGGATCTCTTCGCCTTGATTTTTTGCAAAACCATCTGGTCTGGTGCTAATGGAGAATTGGATCTTTTGAATAATCTTTTTTATTCTGACCACTGAGAAGAGTAGAATTCTCTTGATATACTTCACAACTGTAGGCATAATCACTCAAATGTGAATGCCTTCATTTCACTCTTGAAGTCGAAAAGTTTTGAAAAAAAAATTCGATACATCGACTTCCGTTATGGGGGAAACCGTGAACACTTCCGTTCGGTTGGAGAGTCGAAAAAGACTGCGAGTTTCTAGAGTTGCTTTGATGCCGAAAAAACTTATAACCATTTTCATTTTAATCAAGAAATCCTGAGAGATTCCTGTAAGTTAGGGGGAGATTTCTTTAGTTTTCGAAGAAAAAAGGAAACCTTCGGGAAGTCATATGATTCCGAAAACATTTAATCAGCACTGAGGAAAAACGAGTGCTCGTTTTAGACCAGAATGGGTACCAAAAAAACACAGCGACTTAAAAAAAATCGTTGGATTTGTGGAAAACCCTTGTGAGCGCTCATTTCAAGAAAGAGACAGAATTCCGTTGTCGAGAAATATTCATTTAAAGTTTGGGTAGAATGGGTATGGACATGGACACGACCATTCACTGAATCTCATGCCATCCCTCTCTTAACAATCTGCAGACGGTCACAAGTGGACCAGACATCGTTGCTCTATTTCAAAAATCATCTTCGGGACGTCATAGAGGTTAGATCGCCATTTTAATTCGGTATAAGCAGAGTTCCACCGGTCGTAAAGGTTTTCGGGTTACCTCGATCTCAACGAAGAGGACCATTGGGACCCACTCTCTCTCACTTTTTTTTTGTGGGGCCACGATGGGTTTGTGGGGCATGCCTTTGTAAAAAATCTGTTCGATATTTCTATCGATATCTGAATACACTTTAATAGCTGTTTTGCTTATTCACTAGGAGTATAAGTATACATAGTAATTTTACGCTGTGCATCTAGCAAACTATCGGAAATCCACGAAAGTCTTGGGTACGTTGTGAGAACGAGAAATGGATAAACACGACAAAAATAGAGCGCAGGTCTGTTTCGACCCTCTTATAAAACCACAATTTTTCCTTTTAGCTCGAGGACCCTCTGTTGAGATTAGCTCGTGAAACTAATTAAAAGAAGCAGTAGCTAAAATGGAATAGATTCTACCCTGCGATGAATGTTTAAAGAGTCATGAAGACAATTATTTATTTACAGTAATCGTTCTACGGTAGTTTGTCAGCCTCGGAACCAGAAACTGGCCGGATAAGGTTTTCGATCATCACGTACAAATCGTCTTGGGACTTCATCAGTGAAACGTGACAGTCTGTTGGGGAAGCCAGCTTTCCAGCGATTCTCCAGATCCAGTGGTGCGAGAACTGCTGAAAACACCAATGATAGTAGTAGGAAAGAAAAAAAAATCAAAACTTCTGAGAGCTTCAAAAATTGCTGGTGGGTTAGAATGTCGAAGACTGGGCGTTAATCGAACCCATCTGAGGGATGCACTCACGCATTCGACTTCATTCAGAATCTTAGTGGCGTATTGAATGCGTATGTGGCCTACAATGACTTGCGGTGATCAGCCGATGTACATGTCAGTGCTTTTATCCACTCAGACAACTCTGGTGCCAATTAACCAATCCCGGAAGGATGGGTGGCTGGGATGGCCTATGAGGATATCAATCTGGGATTCGAACCAGTGACCCTGCGTTCGAGATAGTACTACACCACCTCCACCCCTAGTGAAGGGTTAGGAAGAAAAAATTATTGGCATCTTTGATAAAGGTACCCATAGATTTATAAACCCAAGCGTTTTATGTTCGGCTGATTACCCTGAAGAAGAAGAAGGAATTCATTCATTGCTTTTTATGTTCGTCTGAATACCCTGAAAAAAAGAAGGAATCCACTCCAGGTCAAATCGTCCGCCGCCACAGTTAATTAAACTAGGAGGTCCGAAATGAGTATTAGAATAGGATTTTTTCAAAGATACAAACTGTCCAGAATGAGCATTGAGATAGGATTTTTTCGAAGATGAAAATATGTGTGCTAATCCCAGTTGTAATATATCTTTCCTTGTTAGTGAAGGGGGTAAGAAGTGGAAACACTGATGAAGCTTATTTTCTTCCTAATTCGACAACTTCCTCACAACGAGCACTCAATGTTATATGCCCTTCATCCATGGCCTATGGCCTTGAATTGGCCTTGTTAGGGCACGGCCTTAATGTCAATCAGTCTACGGTAAGACATATACTCGAAGTAACTTACTAGTCTGACCAACTGAAAGGCAAAACCAGAAGGACTAACTATCACAGAACATTGAAATATTTCAATACTTGCTACTCCTAAATGAAACTGGGAGGTGTTACACGGTTAGCTAGGACAGTTATTGCTTATCGGAGGTCCATACCCACTCGGGAGACCAGATTATTCATTCCACTCGTGCAAGGATAGTCATACTCCCCCTGTTTATGAACCCTAGAACATCGCTTAGCAATCTGATGTTTTTGTAGGGCCACAAGCTCACTCAAACATTTCAATGAGTCTCACTGGAAACTTTGAGCCACCATTGTCCCCATGTCATCATAACCCAGTGGCCCAGGACACCCCAGTGACAGTTTCCACAGAGGCCCAGTCCGGAACCACCACTTGGCCCGGCAATTCACTTTGGCAAGAAGTATGTGAGCCACCTATTCCAGCACCCATAATTACGAGTTTAGCGGATTGAAGAGGGAAAGGGGCTGGTTTCCGCGTCTTTTTCAGCTGGCGAAGCTATTCCAAAATATCAGTAGACAAATATATTTGATATATTACCACTTACCTAATCGAATAGAATTGGCAGCTTTGAAGTAAAGGAATAGGGCAAGAATGAGAAATACCACTTTCATTGTGTAGAGCACAATGTAGTCGTCTGGATTGTCAGCTCAGAGCACATTCAAAAATGGGGAGGAGGCGGACAGATCCAACCGAATGGGCGGAGTCGCTGGACTGGGAAGCTAATCAGTGGGTAGGAACGAGGCTGTGAAGAAGCTACTGCTCTTTGTCACTTACTGAAAGCAAATGAGGCATATAGTATCATTAAATCGTTGCAGAAAATCAAGAAAACGTTGTAAAAGGCTGTCTGCAAGGGGAAGACCCTCCCAGCATCAAATGATAAAGGATCGAGTCCTTGGCGTCAACCTGACCCGAATTTGGGATAGGAATGGGAAATTTCTGAAGAGTGGTAGCTTTCCTAGTCAGTGTAATCCGTCCAGAGGATCGGGAGGAGGGAGGTCTATGCCGAAGAGTTCAGTTCTAAAATTACGCCACGCAGTCGACTTCCATTCAGAATCGTAGTAGCGATTTGAATATTTCGGCACAACCGTTTTCTTCAGAGGCCTGAACCCGATACGGGATGCTTTTCCACCCCTTCGATGGGGTTCCAATCCCCTCTAGCAGATGTAACGATGTAATTGAAGCCGCAGGTTGAAAAATGACCCACCAAAATCCATCTAGTGCTCAAGTGGAAAAAATCTGTTGT